TCATAAGCCTATAATCAGTTTCTAGAGTTTGTCAACTTTCTCCAAAGGAGTGACACAAAAGCAGTGAGTGGAATCCTGAGATTGTTCCAGAATCTGACAAAGATGACGATGTATTTTTGTGATAAAGGCAAGAGCCTGTAGGGTCCAGGGCCTCACTGAACCTGAGGATGCCTTGTCATCTGCTTGTAATTCAAAGCTGACAGCTGGGCAGGAACTTTCCAGGAACTTTTGTGAGATCTGATACAGAGCAAAGACTGCAGGAAGGTGTCACAGACTTACACTTTGCCACATTAAAAGAGAGCAAAGTAGCTTCTGCATTTTTCTCTCCAGGGCTCAGCATGGCCCAGCTAATCAAGGGTTTTGGCAGTATCAGCCACCAAAGACACTTCATTTTCTTGACAACCCCTATTGCATAGGGTGGGTTCTTGAGAAAAATCTACGTCTTGCTTGGCTGACAATGCTGAATACTGTCCTTCTCATCATGAACTCCCAAGGAAGGGGGAAATGAACTTACCTGAATGTGCCCACCCTGTGCTAGGACCTGCACTGGGGACTTGACATGCCAGGCACTCAATACAAGAAGGTTCATGCTCACCCTCCTCCCCTGGGAGTTCATGATGAGGACGACAGTGTGAAATACACTAAGCTTCTTGACATACAAATTAAAGGCTTTGTTCTAAGAACAGCAAATGCCATTGCCTGCAAGAGCAACTTCCAGCAGCTTCTCTGTGCCCGGAGTCTGCATGCAGAGCAAACTGCCCACAGGGGGCAGAGGCATTGGCTGGGGAAATTTTATATGATTAGTGGGGTGGAGTCAGACCCTCAGCAGCTCAGCGCCCTGCCAGGCCTGCCGAACAGCCACCCTTGTTCAGAGCAAGACCTTCCACAGCAGATGTTTTCTTTTCTTTTTTTCTGAATTGCTAAATGTGTCTGAATGATGGACGGGACTGGGAAGAGCGGTTGTGGGCCTGAATTCTTTGATGCTTCGGCATGTTGTGGGTTCCAGGAGGCAGGGATGGCCAGACAGTCAGTTTCTGGGAGCCATTCAACACTCGCACACTAAACCTTCCCTGTACACCCGGCAGTCCCTGTGCTGTTTGCTGTCACTGTACCAAGATGGTGCCTTCCGTCAAGGATGCCCTGAGTCTAGTGGGGGAGCCAGAGGTACACAAGGATCTGAGGCAGAATGTGAACAGTGTGGTGCAGTGTGCTCAGTCTTTTCAACATATGTCTCCTGTGGAGAAACATAAATCTTGAAAATTCCTTTAAACTTTGTGTTTCAAAAGCAAGAGTAGGTTTTTTTTTTTTTGGTTTCCAAATATGAAATTATAATATTGAATATATTTTAAAAACTACACATGTCCTCCCTGAGATGTTTTTTAAAATTTTTTATTGAGGTGTAACATGCATATATAGTATATAGTATATGAATTTTTACATACATATGCACTGGTATGAATAGCACCCAGATATATAGGGAGTCTTTCCAGCCTCCAAAAGTCTCCCTCATGCCCCTTCCAAGTGAATCACCACCCCCCAGTCACCCAGAAGTAACTACTATTCTAATTTCTATCAATGTAGATGAGTTTTGCTTTTTCCTGAACTTCACGTAAATACAATCATACATTTAGGATTTGTGTCTGGTTCCTTTGCTCATGCCTCATGGTGCATGAGTGGTAGTATATTCTTTTTTTCACTGCTGGGTACTATTCCATTATATGACCCCACACAATTTATGGCTTCATTCAACTCCTTTGAGAATCATTGGTGTGGTATAAAAAGATCTGTGTTTGCAGCCAGATGTAGAAAGTCACAACTTCTTTTCCTTCCTTTCTACATGACTGAGAGAAGTCACTTCACCTGGCATCTTGGTTCTCTCACTTGTGGAATATAGGGGGTCAATGAATTTATAGTATGTGGAGCCAATGTGGGTGAAGCCCCTGTTGCAGTGCCTGGCACATAGTAGGCATTCAGTGGATGGCAGCAAAGATTACAAAGGGATGTAAAATTCATGTGTTTGTTGCCATGGGTGCACAGAGGCCGAAGAGCTCCCTTTACATGCAGGACATCAAGGAAGGCCTTAGCCAGGCTTGTGGAGTGAGTTGCATTGTAGCAAAAGGTGCCCTAGGGGCAGGCATCATGTGAGCAAAGACACAGAGGACTGCAAAGGTAGGGTGTGTTGGAGAGACAACCCTGAGGACACTATTAAGAGGTGAGTTGTGGAGTCCTCATACCTGAGTGGCTTCCATGGTAGCTAGGAAGAACACACAGGTCAGCAGCACAAGATGGGGCTTAAGGCCAAAGGAAACACTGTTGGCTTGAGCTGTTGAAGTCCAGAGGCAAAGAGCTTGCGCATGCTAGAGAGTTCTAGAAAACCATCTGGGAGACAGTGGGGCCAGAGCTGGCCTTTGAGGGATGGCAGAGAAGAGGAAAGAGGCATCTGTTGGTAAGGGAAGGAAGTTAAGAGCACAGTCAAGGCTGGGGAAGCAGGGACACTAGAGCAGATCTGGGGGATGATAAAATATGCCCCCTGATTCCCACCACTGCCACCATTGTCACTCTGGCTAGTGTGTTTTGAGCACTTACTGTGTGCCAGACACTGTGTTAAGTAGAAGGTAGATATTCTCATTTAATCTTCATATGGTTAAATGAAGTAGATCCAATTCTCTCTTCAACTTACAGATGAAGAGACCAAGGTTCAGGGAAGTTAACTAACTGACTACAGCCATTTCCGCCAGGGTTTACTTTTCCTTTGGTGGGGGGAGATGAAGATCTAACACATTGCATCACACCCCCTGGAAAGCTGAGCTAGCATCTCTGGTGGCACCTATCAATCCCTTCTCAGTACATCAGAACTGGACAGCCTAATAACAGGGTGGACAGTTGGTTCCAGTCAGGTTGCCCTGAAGGGTCTGTCAGTTGGGGGTGCTCCCAAGTTGGGGGTGCTCGCTAACAATTTCCATGTTCTTAGTAGAGGTTGGGAATTGGGTCTTTACTTTGTTCTCCTGACTACTATGGTCTGGCTTGAGGAGAGAATTTGGGACAGAATGTGTTATGGGTTGAATTTTGTCCCCCCCCCCCCACCATTCATATGTTGACGTCCTAGCCCCCGGTACTTCAGAATGTCACTGTACTTGGAGACAGGGTCTTTTCGGAGACAATTAAAATGAAGTCATTAGGGCAGCCCTACTCCTCTGTGACTGGTGTCCTTATAAGAGGAGATTGGGACTCAGACACACACAGAGGAAAGACCATGTGAAGACCCAGGGTTGTCTGAGTAGACAACCCAGATGGCAGACAACCATCTACCAGCCAAGGAGACAGGCCTTAGAAGAAACCAAACCTGCTGATACCTTGATGTCAGACATTCAGACTCTATGGCTGTGAGAAACTAAATTTGTGTTGTGGAAGCCACACGGTCTGTGGGATTTTTTATGACAGCTCAGCAGACTAATAGGGAGTGTCATTCAAGTTATCCAAGGCTCAGAGAGGAAAACTTAAGGTTTTAATAACAACAACAACAACAACAACAACAACACAGTGTTAATCATCATCATCAATGTGCACTGAATGTGTAAATATTGAAAGGTCATTTTGTGGGTGACATAACTTGGGTATAAACAGGACATGTTTATTATGAATAGAGCAGAATTTCCTTGTAAAATCTCCACTGTTTGGGGGTCCCAGGGAGTATTCAGTTATGAGTGCTGCCTGGTGATACTAGTTCATCTATAGATCAGGTAAATACAAAATGATTAACCTTAATTTTCCTGCTTATTTTCTGAGAAATGTTCGTGCCTCTTTGGCCGTTGGGTGAAAGGGGGTGGCGTGCAGGAAGGAAGACCTATTAGAGGCCTCAGGTTCCTTTTCTCAAACATCCTTTGAAATGAGATGTGTCTAGACTCCAGGGGCAGCCAGAGCACGCTCACAGAGGAGATATATCACAGAGATATATACCCAGGGACGGTCATAAAAGTCTCCGCTTGTGATGCGTTTGGGTGAGTTACAGAACCAATAGCTTTGATCAAGTGCCCAGCTGTACTCGATTAGCAGAAGGATAATGAGAACTGAGCAGCAAGGGGTGGAGGGCAGGGGGAGGGAAGTGGGGGTGGGGCTGGGGGGGTGCAGTGGGAGGGGCCTGTGGTATTTGCCTATCAGAGGCCATTCTCTGAGCTTCCGGGGAGGGGGCCTGCCTAGGCAGTGTTGGGGGTCCTGTGGCCGCCTTAGAGCAGTAATAAGGCCTCCCCTTGGTGCTGCCTCCTCCTTGCCAGGTGCTTTCATCTGTATCCATTCCATTTCCTCCTCCCAGCAGCTCAGGGAGAGAAAGGCTGGGAAGTGTGTGCTCTTTTATGGCTGGAAGTTGGGAGTGGGTGGGACTAGAAGCCCTGAGAGGCTGGGAAGAGGGGAGGGCAGAGAGAGGCAGGCACCTGCTGTGATTCCAGTGGTTCTCTGGCTGTGCTTGCAGGGCACCGGTTCTGGAACTATCTTTTTATCCCCCATTTGGCTTATCCTTGTCTCTCTTTCCATGTTCCCCCCTTGATTCCTACTCTTTGCTTTCCTTCCTCCCTCCTCCCTTCCTTCTTTCCATCCTTCCTTTTTCATCATGCCCTTGTTTCCTCCTGCCTTCTCTTCCTTGCCAGTCTCTTTCTTGTAGAACTCCTTCCCTTTCCTCTTCCTTCTGTCCCTGTTTTCTTTCCCTCTTTCTTCTAATTTTTCTCAATAGTTTCAATAATAACTTTTTAAAATTAACCACTAGAGTTTAGCATTCAACACACACTGGTTATGGCTGGGCACCCTGGACATGTTGAACAGGAGAGAAGAGCCAGTCCTCGCATAGCTGAGGGTCCACAGTGAACACTGATGATAAATAAGAAATTATTGTAAGACAAAGTTGGTGTTTTAAAAGGTCCAATGGATAACTCTCCTCTTCCTCACTCAAGATCTGAGCCAACCAAGATACAAGATGAAGGGGTAAGGCAGATGGCAAATCAAGTCAGCACTGAGATTCACAGGAAGCTGTTATTGGAGAATATAGCTTACACCTTTAGGCAAATGGGCTGCCTGACACTGAATCTTGGTTTGTTCAGCTGGTCCATTAGTCCCGGAAGTCTGGGTCAGGCCAAGGCTCCCATTTGCAGCAGGAGAGTCTGCATCCCAGTGAAAGCCCCAGGGGATGAGCAGGCAGGCATGGGATGTGCTTCCTGCAGGGAACTTGTGCCTAAGAGAGGGAAGGAGGGCTAGGTTAACTAGGTCATGGTTCCTTCTTCCCCTTTGTAAGAATCAGTATAAACTCAGCATGGGTGAATGAGGGGTGGAGAGAGAGGCCAGGAGTATGATGCTGGTGGAAGCTCACCTCCAATGGAGTAAAAAACCAGGAGTGGAAATGTAGCTCCCCACCTCCTCTGTCCTGTACCAGCACTCAGAGCAAGTGTGTGTGTATGTGTGTTTGTGTGCATGCACATGTGTGTGAGTGTGTGTGATGGTACATAGGAGGAACCTAACCTCACCTAATGTAGGAAGTGATGTCTAATCTGAGACTTATAGGATTGCTAACTACCTTGATGTGATAAGGTGTCAGACAAAATTCAGAACAAAGTATGGAAATTTACTTCTCCCTCTAAACTTCTTTATAAAATAAAACTCTGGGGAAGTGTCTCATTCAGTTATTCTGTCAACAAATATATATTTAATTGTCTATTAAATGCAAGCTACTTTACCCAGCAGGAGGAATAGATTGATTGGATGTGGCTTCTGCCCTCCAGGAGCATTTGGACTGTATGCTGAGTAAGACATCCTCATAGAGGGCCAACATGCAAGGTGGGGCATGGAGCATTGGTTGCTTGTTGTTGAAACAAAGTAAGAGCTCTCAGTGAGCTACATGAGGCTTTTATGGGGCTCGTGTGGAGAAGAAGAAAGTTCTTAATGGGGTGGAGGTGGTAAGGAACCAAGCCTTGAATGGCTAGTAGGATTTAAACAGGTAGTCTTGACCTTCTAAGTAGAAAAAAAGCATCAGCAAAGGCATGGAGGCCATCAAAGGATGGCAGAGATCAGTGAGTAGTCCAGTGTGTCTCGAATACTGTACAGGAAGGAAGAGGTTGGAAACACTAACTTAAAAGAAGAGATGGGACCCAGACTCTTGAAAGTCAGTGTGAGGGTCTGCCCACACTTTGATCCCCAGTGTTGATGAAGGTTGCTGAGCAGGAAGCATGGTGTAGTTGGATGGCTGTTTAGAACATTCACACCTATTGCAATGCTCTTTGGGTTGGAGGAAACAGAACTTGAAGACAGTAGGGATCTTGGAAAGCTTTGAAATAGTCCAGGTTGGAAGTTCTGATTGTCAGCAATGAGGGTGGAATAAGTGGATAGATCTGAGTGGATAGAGGGTGGAATAAGTGGATAGATCTGGGTTGCCCCATTTTGTGGCTTCCTCAGCCACAGTGAGGAAGTGCTCCCAGTGCTCCCCAGCCTATGAACACATAAGGGGAAGAAGAAAAGGCGGCAGCTCACTTATGATTGGAACTAGTCAAGGCAGACTTAGAGGAAGCTTATGTGTGTGTGGAGTACAAGCCCCAGTGAGAGAACACTGTGAGGTCCAGTGGGACAGCCTCTCATGCCAGGTCCTATGTGATCAGGGAGTGGCAGGGTCAGAGAGATTGGACCTAGCAGGAGGGCTGGTACTCAGTGAGGACTGTGGGGTTCTGCAGGAAAACAAGGTTTGCACCTTCTTGCTGTTGGGCTTTGTCTCGTGTAAATTTTAGGGTCCACCAAAGGCAGAAACAATAAAGAAAGCAAGATCCAGAGAGATAGACTTATCATGAAGGAGCTGGATCAGAGTAGCATTCCAAGCCCTGTTTGCAGGTCTCTGCTGTAGGATGTCCTTTCCCTCCTGGGGTGCCAGTGTTCCTCCATTATTGCTTGGACTTCATGACTTCCTTGTTCCCAGAAAGAGAAAGGAGCTTATTAAGTGAAGTGGCTGCCAAGTGTATTTTAAGATGAACAAAGCCTAGATCATTTTTTTTTTCCTCACCACATACCATACATAATTGTATGAAGGGCAGGATTTATTTGGTTTGCATTATGATTTTTTTTCCCTCAAGCTTAATTACAGTGTTAAAAAGGCAACTACAACTTGAAAGAAACAAGCCCTACCTTCATGGAGACCAGCATGACCATTCTGGATTTGAAACACAGCTTCTTTGTGAAGGGAATTAATTGTATATGAAACTTTGGGGCTTATGTAAAACACATTTTTATGAAAATAAACTTGAACAGTCATTAAAATGAATAGTTGTTTTAAATAAGACTCAAACTGCATGGTGGTGCCAATGAATTTTAGATGCCTTCTTTATTGGCTTTGTTTTGGGTTGAACTCTGCATTTCTAAGACAATATCAGGGCCCTGGATGTAAGTCTTAGTTTATAATTGGGAATCAAATGTATAGTTCCAATGATAGATTATTATGGGAGGTAAGAAAATGAATAAGCTTGAATAGTATTCAGGTCTAAGGAACTTCATGAATAAATAATTCTATGTTGGAAAATCCAACATGTTAGAAGGAAGTGGTGCCTGATAGTTTGGCCTCAGACCAAGGAACCAGTTAATGGAACTCCGCTCTCCAGCTTTGGGACAGTCCTCAGGTAATCTGTAAATCAGAAATGTGAGTGACGACCCCCACGTTCTCCTCTGCTAGCATTGACATGGGATGTCTCTGGCTCAGAGATCTGTATGGTTCAGGGACGAGTCTAGAGCAGAGCTCTCAGTGGGGTGGACTACTTGAAACTCTAGCTTAAATAAGCTCCTCCTTGGGGAAGGAGTGGGGCTTAGACCTCTTTGTGCCTGGTGTTCTGCTCTTCTGCCTGCACTTCTCTACTCTTGTTGGGAAGGTGGTTTTTGTCAGCAGTGTGAGCTCAACAGCTGTTCTGGGGCAGATGGGAAAGTGACATCTTCTTTAATTGGTGGGAACTCAGGCTCATGTCCCCAGTCCTTGGAAGAATGCCTCACTGTTTCCACACCCCAACCACCCACACGCATGTGGTCTCTACCCCACTAAATCACTAGCATCTCTCCTCTCCTTCAGGGTGTGTTTTCCTCCCTACACTGAGATCCTTGTGGTTATTTAGATAAAAGCTTGCATAAAGAAAAAGAAGGGAATATCTTAGAACAGTATGTAAGGATGTATAGGAAGAGTGCCCTCACCTGGCTTTGTATTAACATACATAATTTAATTGATGGTCCATTGACCTCAATTCTAGAATAGGTAATGACACCATTTTGTATTTTTCTTTGGGTTGTTGTGCATTCTCAGTGATGTAACACCTCATGCTATTGATATCCTTCTCTACCCACTTCTCTGATTCCCTGCTTATAGTTCTTCCCTAGTTTGAACAGAGAGCCCCAGAGGCAATCAGAGAGGCCTCCAGACTAGTGGCAATTTGTGTAGTGAAGTGAGGGAGCACCCAGGCCATACCAGCCAGAAGCAGAAGGTTTCCAGTTAGGTGACTCCTACAACCTCCAGGTGCTGGTCTGAACTGCTGTAAGGAGGTCTTATTGCCTTCTGCAGGGTGTGCTGGATGCACTATTACCCCTACTGGCCTCTGGGTACATTCCTTTGGCAATTTTCTCCATCTACCCACTACCCAGTAAAGGTGTTCGTAGCCTGTGGTGTGATGGTATCAGACACATTGTTTCCATGGCAACCACAGCCCTGGCCCCTTGGAATAGTAAATCTGCTTAGGTGGCTTTCCCTTATCTTTAGGATGTGGGGATGACCTCCACATCCCTACAGTCATCTCCCTGAAAGTGGGGACCAGGTAGGCTCCACCTTCTGCTGCATGGAGAGGGACCCAGGGCAAGAAGGAACGTTACAGGTGCTGGGAAATGCTTGTGCAATGATTTATTTTTCATGGTGGAAATGCATTCAAACCTAGAAGTTCTGAAGTGCGTTTTGCTCTGGCCCCCAAATGCATGACTAGAAACACGGAGCCTTGACATTTCTCTTCCCTTTCAGTGCCATGGCTCAGTGAATCAATTCAAACCCATTAAGATTTCAGAATGACAGGAGGAGAAAATCCTTCCAGTGAACACTCTTAGGATACTGTGACCGAACACCATTTCCTTAGACCTGGACCATTTTCTCGTTTTGAAAATCCCATCAATTGCAATCCCCTCCTCGAGGCTGAGCATCTCGTTTTTACTTTCCTATTTCTTGACACAAAAGCCTATAGCAAAGGCTTGTAGATATATGAATTACATACTTGTTAGTGACACCATGTTGCCCCATGTTTAAGAGGTAACGTGGAAAGAGTTTTCAATTTCTCTGGGTTTATAAATCTAAAGAGATAATTATCCTTCAAAAGAGTGGGGGTGGCCACCAGAGTCAGGAAACTCAGCATGCAGACCTGGGCTCTGCTCCCAACTAGTCTTATGATCCTTGTTTGTAGGATTCTCAAGTGAAATTGTGTATGTGTGCCTGTGTGTGTGTGTGTGTGTGTGTGTGTGTGTGCCTGTGTGCCTGTGTGTGTGTGTGAGTGTGTGATGTCTTAAGCAAACTGGTTTTCTGTGGGAGCACAATTGAATTTTTAAAAATCTAAATTAAGCACATATTCTTTGGGAGCACATCTGTTGCACAGAGTGAGGCCCATTCCATCAATACAGTTGCCTGCAGAGCAATGAAGTCATTCCCATCTAATTCCTGAAACCAGAAATGAGGATAACAGGCCAGTATTAAATATTAAAGTTTTTCACATTTTGCTGTTCTCTTCCAGAGAACACAAAGAGCACTGACATATTTCTGGAGCTCAGGTGGATAGCTAATGGACTGGAGGAGCTTTCAACTCAACTGGAGCGATACATGAAGAGAAAACTTAATTACAGTTAGGATTCCGTGGGTTAACTGGGTAAGCAAGTAGCCTCCATATTTCATAGCATCTAAGACACTATTGATTTTAAGATGCACCATTATTTTATGTACCTCTGAGGAAAAAAGTACTGCCAATTAAACTGTGACCACAATGCTTTATATCTTAGAATTGTAATTTTACCCTTATTGAAAGAGCTCTTTAAGATTTGTTTAGATACTTGTGCATACATTAAAATGAAAATACAAGCAAAATATGTTGGTTGTGATATTCTTAAATTGTCTTCACAAGGTGGGCTCTGCCGATTGGCTCTCTGATTTAGAGTTGCTGCTGTCTATGGTTCTCTAGGCAATACCTCTCTCTGTGAAATTAAGACTAGTGAACACAAGCATTTCTTCCCACAGCACTGCACCATTGATCTGGGGGTTTCTTCCCAGACCCTGACACACATTTACAAGTTCTAGAACTGGTGCTTTCTTCATCGTACAGGAAGGTATGAATCCAGGACTCATTTATTTTTTTCTTCAAATGATCCTTAAATGGTTTGTTGATTAAAAGACCAAGGTTTGTAATTATGTAACCTTGCCACCAGGACAACAACCAAGTGTGCTCATGTGTGGACAGTGACAGTGCTGTAACTTCCATCTTGTTTGACAACAATTGTAAGATGCCAACACCAACACCATGAGGGCTGCCCTGGTAAGCTGCTTTCTACTTCCTTCCAATTTCCTTCTTCTCTAATCTCAGATAGCTCTTATATGTGGAACAGTCTTAGGTATACCTCATCCAGTTTGATGCATGGATGAGGATGCCTGATGTTCTCGGTGGCCAAGTCCTATATGCTTATTACATAGAAATGGGAAGTAGAAGAGAGAGGGCAGAGCCTAGATTCTTGCCTTTGAGGATAGGTAGCTGTACTCACTAATAATATGGAACTCAAGTAATGATCCAGCTTAAACAGCTCCTTCTCAGGAAATCCTGCTCCAGTATCCTTGCTGTGCTGACATAGTAGCCCATACTGACCTCTGTCACAGCATGCCCCATGTGTATGTGGCCATTGTGATGTCCTTGAGAGCAGCAACCCTATCTATTTATCCTTGTAACCCAGTGCCTGGTGCAATGCCCAGGCTTTAGTAGACTTTGGGTGAACAGTTGCCAAAAGACCGAGGATGGAAAGAATGGGGCAGGAAATGCTCAGGGACAGGGAAATGCCAGCCACATTTAGAGAAGGCGGAGTCTTGTTGTTTGTCTGAGATGGAGGGTGTATGACAGGAAGCAGTGGAAAGTCGGAACAGGAGAGAAGGCTGGCTTGGAGTACTACAAGGAGGAAGATTATTTGGCTGCATAGAACCTGATAAAGACTATTTCAGAGCACCTGTATGTAATCCAACATGTATATTGAGTCACAGATGACAGTTACAACAGAAATGAATTGATCAGTATTAACCATATATCAGATGAGGTGGTTTAAATAAAGAAACTGATATTCCTGAAACTTCAGGAAAGTAAGTTATTTTTAAGTAGTAACATTCATTCATTCATTCATTCATTCATTCATTCATTCATTCATAGGTTCTATGATTAATAGTAATAGCCATGGACCAAACTTTGAGGACACATGGATGAGTAATGTATAATTTGTACCTTGAAGGAGATTACATATATGGATATGTAACTTTGGGTATATAAATATATAAGGTATATGTAAAATAGGAAAATATTTGGGATGCTTTGTGTTCTCTTGAGACTACTGTGGGGGAACAGAGGAGAGATTGTCTTTATGTGGATGGGTCAAAGGAAATTCCACAGGGCCAAGATGATTCTTAAGATATTTATGACCAAGTCAGAGATAATTGTCCTCTGTAGAAGTATTCCCGCAGAATACTGGTATCCCCTGACAAAAGGGTAATGTGGTTAATTAAGTTTAGAAAATGGATCATACTCTGTTCCCATCTTGAATTCACAGTGTGTGTGGATGCATTAAACCTCCTTCCTGATCAGCAATAAAAACAAACAACAAACAGAATGCCAGCTTATTTGGTTTAATCTACCATTTTTCCAAACTTAGTTGGCCACTCCACCTTTCTGTGGCAGAACACCTGTTAATATTTTAATATCTTAACACCTATTAATATCTCACACTTATTAACATCTTCACATTATAGTTTAGGAAATATGACTGATGCCTGGTTTGGATGGGGACTTATCCGAAAGCAAAGAGCATTGGATATTATTTCCAATACTGTGAATTTCTGCTGCTCTTAGAGTTCTCACAAAGAATTGACATTGGTTACATGTGTGTGAATGCATGTGTTCATAGGCATGGTTTGTGCCTTTTAGTATCCAAAATTCTTTTGGCAAAGGCCAAAACCTATATAGCTTCTGCCTCAAAAGCCATATAACTTTGTGTGAGAAGCGCTATTGATATCAACTGTTATTATACTAAAAAATGCAAATGATGTTTATGAGCTTATTTGGAGACTGGAAACGTGTATGCTTTGGACATTGCCCTTCGTACTTCTGTAGAATAAGAGCTTCTGAGACATTCTGATTAGTTGCAATGCTTTTCTTAGACTTTGGTTTTATATGTGATTTTGGTACCGATGCAGAAATCACTTGTCAAATTACCTGAAGATTTTTTTTCATCTCAGTGGCTGAATATTGTAAAGCTCAGAGCAAAAGGACCCCTATTGTTATAATGAAAAAGTTCAGTTTTAACTGAGCAATAAAAATAAATGTTTCCCAATAAACTTATTCTGAAGATTCTGTTGTGTCCAGAAGGTATGAAATGACTTTGGCTTTTTGATCATCAGTATCCTGGAATAGGACATCCCTGTTACACATGTCTGCAAAGTGAAATCTCATATGCCATATTTCCAGTTTAACCAGAAATATATTCTGATTTATAGACCCACAGGCAACGTTCAACTTCTATTTATTGATTGATTGGCTGAGAGAACTAAAACAAGGCCATGGTCTTCCCAAGTCTTCCCAATACCCAGTCTCCTCCTTTTACTCCAGGAATAGACCATAGCAGAACTTAGCAATGCACTGTAACCCATGACTGGAAAACCATGACAAGTGGTTGCTTTGTGATCACTTGAGGCATGGCTTCAGGGCTGACACTATTTCCTTTGCATGGATTTGGGTAAAGAGAAGGCTTTCTAGAAGTATGTGTTAAATAAATGAATGAGTGAATGAATGAATGTGTGCCGGGCCACCTTCAGCAATATTCAGGCTTGAACTTTTTACACTTCAGAGGGCAGACTTGTGGATTTTTGATCAGGACAGCATTCTCCCCTTGACTTACACACTCATAAACCTGACTAGATGACACTCAGTGAGTCTGCTGTATAGCTAGACTTGAAAACATTTTTTCTCCCCCTTTCCCAAGTGTGTTCCCTTCCCAACCCTCCAGCTAAGCCCACTCTGTCTGGGGTAGGTGCCAGGAGGGAGGAGTCCGGGAGCATGCCTTGAAAGGCATCTATGGGTAAAGAGAAAAAACACATCTCGTTGCTCACACAGCTCCTTTTGCCTCAGCTGCCTGTGTGAGCTTATGGGAGAGGCTGAAAAGCACATTCTTTAAAATCCTGGCCCTTAAATGGAATGCATCTTGGGCTGCAATGTCAGCTTGGCTCTGCCCTGCCTCCAGGACAGTCCTTTATTGCTGACTTTTTGACACGATAAAACCCAGCCCCTTCTCCTCCACTCTGGGGATGGTTCCTAGAACTGATGAAATTTCAACTGTATTGGATTTTTATCACAATTCAAGGATTTTACAAATTGCATTTCTATCCTTCCTTTTTGGCTTCCTCCCCACCACCCCTGTCTCAAAACCACATCTTATCCAGAACCAGCGGCGTTAAATGTCCAAGTAAGCCTTTGCTCCAGACCCTGGGGTCAGCCGAGTCACATCCATTTCTCTCTACCTTTTAAGAAGCCAATATGGGCCTCCACCTCTCTTACCCGCAGAAGGTTGGGTCAGATTGTGGGAGGCCTGAGGATGAGCTCATCAGCTTGTCTCACTGCCCAGCTCACAGCTCCTCTTGCTGAACTGTCACTTGCTGAGTTAAATCTGAATTCCTCAAACATCATTCTTCAGCTATTTTCGTCTTCTGAGATTTTAAAGCACTGCTTCTTCAGATGTATTCCAACTTTGTTTGGAAATGTGGCTTTGCTGACTTCTGACCTTACAACAGGCCCCCTGAGTTTGATTGCCTAACGTTAGTTTAGAACTGACCAGACATTACTTCTTCCCTTTCCTTACAGTTGGAAAGACAAACGGTGACTCCTACAGACAAGGGGCCCTCTAACTGGCTTTGCTCTTCCCTGTCCTGGATTTTCCTAGGCAGACTATGTGGCTAGGAGCAGGGGGATCACAGTGATCAGTCTGGTGGCTTTCTGAAAGAAAGGACTGGGCAAATGTTTCAATAGACAAACACTCATTGGATACCCACTTATGAAAGACACTCAAGGGTGGCCTGGTAAGACCACTGCATAGAAAGCAGAGCCCCAATTTAGACAAAAGCTTCTTTTGTTCACTCATTTGTCTGGGGCTTCTATGTCCCAGCAGAGCAATCTGCGAGTGGTAAGGATGGCTAGTTTATCTTTTAGGGGTTTGGACTTAAGATAAGATGTACATACAGCAAAGTGATATCCCAGCAGGACAAAGGTATCACAAGCAAAGCCTCTGGGTTCACAGGAAGGAGGAGGAAGTATGGCTGGGAATGAAGCAAGCATGGCAAACTGTGTGTCTTGAGCACTGGGTAAAGCTTCTGCAGGGCCTGAGTGGGGCCCAGAGAGGAATCCTTCCCTGCCTGTGGGCTTAAGAAACTTACAGTCAACTGGGGGAGAGGGGTCACACTCCGCACGCTGTGAATACTTGTTCAGGGAGAGGCACAATTCTGAGACTGAGCAGTGGCTGGCTGTGGCTGTCCAATTAGCCCTTGTCATTTGTGCCTCTCACTGCATGGTGAGCTGATGGCCTGCAAGCTATGGTTCTTATGGAAAGACTTGTGTCCTCATTTCCAGCTACACCTGGCAGGGGTGACCAGGGCAAACTGGCAGTGACCTGAGCTTTGGTAACCACTTCCCATCCTTGTACCTTACTCCAAACCAGGTTCTAGCCATTTCCACTTTAGGTTCCTAAGTGACTTTGATTTTCATTATAGTTACAAGTGTCTTGGGGCTTTAAATGTAATGAAATGGCTTTTAAATAAGTGCATAGACACTGGAGAAAAGGGCATGACAGATTTTCACCTTAGCTTGCTAGCTGTTAAACACTGGTCCTTGCCTGCCTGGCCACTGGGGTAGTGCTAGGGGGTGGGGTGGTGGTGGGACAAAAGACACAACCTGCAGGAGGAAAGAAAGGACTTTTGGAACCTGCCTTTTGAGTTGAGGTTTTATTTTTTGTTTGTTTGTTTATTTGGTTTTTCAGTAGGAATGGCTTTGTTGTCCCTATGCCCAGAAGTGGGCTATAATATTTCCAGTTCTTCCCATGAATGATCTTTCTGAGTAGGTGGGAAATTGCCAGGCTGGAGAGATGGTTGTGCTATGTCCCTATAAATGTCCTTTGAAAATCCTCATTACTTTTTTTTTAATGTTTATTTACTTTTGAGAGAGAGACAGACAGACAGACAGACAGACTGTGAATGAGGGAGGGGTAGAGAGAGAGGGAGGCACAGAATCTGAAGCAGGCTCCAGGCTCCGTGTCGTCAGTACAGAGCCCGACGTGGGGCTCGAACCCACGAACTGCGAGATCATGACCTGAGCCGAAGTGGGACGCTTAACCAACTGAGCCACCCAGGCGCCCCTCATTACTTCCATCATGCCTTTCTCCTGCATGTGCATGCACACACATAGATACATGGGTAGACACTCATGGGACCCTCAAGAGGTAGATGGCATGAGAATTGTGGTGGCTATTTTGCAAGACCAGGTTTGTAAAACCAGCACTCTGTTGGAACAAAGCCCTGGCCTGGAGATTGGAAGGCTTCAGTTCTGGTTTTG